TTATGGCGGGAAAATTCATAACTCGAGAATGAGGAAAGCTAGAAAGTTGAAACTTTGGAGGAATGTCCTCTACCCATGTACGACCAAAAGTTTTCAAACTCAGCTCTTTAGGACAGCCCGGGGCTCAAGTATAGGCACGTGAAAATTTTTGGCGCGAAAATTACTAACCCGGGAATAGTAAAAGCTAGGAAGCTCAAACTTTAAGGGAATCTCCCCCTACTCATGTACGAGCAAAATCAGGTGTTTAGAAGCGCCCAATCCCACATACGAGCACGTGAAAATGTTGGCGCAAAAATTACTAACCCGGGAGCAGTAAAAGCTGGAAAGCTGAAACTTTAAGGGAATGTTTCCTACTCATGTACGAGCAAAATCAGGTATTTAGAAGCGCCCGAGCCCACATACGAGCACGTGAAAGTTTTGGCGCGAAAATTATTAACCCGAGAACAGTAAAAGCTAGGAAGCTGAAACTTTGAGGGAATGTTTCCTACTCATGTACGAGCATAATCAGGTGTTTAGAAGCGCCCGGGCCCACGTACGAACAAGTGGAAGTTTTGGCGCAAAAATTACTAACCCGGGGACGGGAAAAGCTAGAAAAGCTGAAAGTTTCGGGGAATGTTTCTTACTCATTTTTGACCAAAATCAGGTGTTTAGAAGCACCCGGAGCCCAAGTACAGGCACGTGGAAATTTCTGGCGCGGAAATCATTAACTCGGGAACGAAAAAAGCTAAAAAGCTTAAACTTCAGGATAACGTTCCCTATTCGTGTATAACCAAAAGATTTTAAATTCATCTCCTTAAAAGCGTCCATTTTCCCTACTCATGTATGACCAAAAGATTTTAAATTCACCTCCTTAAAACCATCCCGAAATCACGTGGTTCCCTACTCATGTATGACCAAAAGATTTTAAATTCATCTCCTTAAAACCGTCCCGTAGTCACGTGGGACTCATGCATGACCAAAAGATTTTAAATTCATCTCCTTAAAACCGTCCCGTAATCACGTAGGGACACTTTTGGTGGGAAAACTGCCAATTCGGGAACGAGATAAGCTCAAGGCTTTAATTTTAAGGGAATATTCTCTACTTATGGACGACTAAAAGATTTTAG